TATATTAAAGATTGTTTGTCGTTTGTTTTGCAAGTACTAACACCCATGCCTCCCCTCTTAGCGTGATAACCATGAAATCCCGAATAAAGTAATGTTTAAAGAAATAGCGATCACTCCCGAAACTAAAGACAGACTGCTTCGTGAATTACACCGTATTAAGACTATACTGGTCTGGTAATATTCTGCATTCTGACCCGTGGTTGCAGGAACCACTGTGCTACTGAGAACCCTGTGGTTGCGGAGAATCGAATGAGTCCCTAAAAAGAATTACAAATATCAATTAAACAGCGAACAGTACTGATATGAAGCCTGTGTTGAATGGGTTTGATCCAACTACCATATTGCTTTAATTTCGAATGCAACCCTAAAAAGAAGTGGAGAGGCGAATCAGAATGGGAATACTGGTGTGATACAATCCAATGTGCAACGGCCTGATCCATTGCGTGTGGTGACGCAATAAACATTGGGTGCCTAAAAAGCATTTAAAATATCCAAATCAGACTCAGGATGGTCAGGATTGGCCCGGAGAAAGGCATTGATCCGATAGGTCATACGTAGGGGCCAATCGTCCCAGTCCCGCTCTGTTGGGTCGCCACTCTGCACATAGGCTACGACATCATCCTCTGTCAACGAATATTCCCCGCTCCCGGAAATCAAGTCATCGAGCGTGAATGATCCAAAGTCCGGGCAATGGGATGGTCCCACGGCAGTGTCTTGGCAAAATCTAGTATCTCCTCGAGGGTACCTCGCCGGAACAGGGCGCGCAGACAGTCGTTTTTCAACGGCAGGACGGTCAAAGGTACAGCGTACAACACCAACACTTGGAGTGAATTCACCATGTTGAACAGGATTACTGAACAGAGTGGAATGAACCACAACTAGGAGTGCCGCTTGTTTTACAGAGTCCACTCAGTGAGCTGATTGGTGGAGAGGCATCACGTGGGGAGGACGTGACCGAAAGGATACTCTAGGGGGTACCCCCCATGGGTACACGTTTTTCTCCTATGGAAAAAGGTCCTGGCGCGAGTGGGTGATTGGTGGAGGAATAAGGATTAATGAGGCGGCGCGCAGCGGAGAGGTCACTTTCATGCTTGGCGCTGTCAACATGAACTGCATAGGGTTAGTGGATCCCCAGAACAAGCCGTTTGGCAACGTGTTGCCCTTGGAAGTGCAAGTAAAAATCATGTTTTGGGCGGAGTGCATGCTCACCAACGACAAACGAAAGAAGGTGAATCAAGAATTCAACGGGTTGCCCAAGTGCGATGTGACAGGCTTCCCACAACACCTTGGCGAGGATCGATGGTGGAACCAAGTGATAAGGCGGTTACATGCCCCCAGGAAAAATGGCTGTCACCACTGCCACCGACTATTTGACCACAAGTTATAGGCAAGTGAGAGGGTGATGGCATTGGTTGTGTTCATCGCTGAACCCTACCCTTAGATCGTTTTTTTATTTTTACAGATGGGTATGGTGGTGGAATTGGTTCGTCAGCCCCCTAACCTGGACAACCTCATGAACGAGGGGATTACGTTTGCCATCGACCGCTTTGAAGTGACCCTACCCGATTGTCCCGTGGGACGTCGCCCCGTCATGATTGGACGAAGGAAGCGTACCTACAATACCATCGACAAGGTCATGGGACGCTTGGACAGAGTGATGAAAGTCTTGGAAACCATGAGACACATGGCTATTGTAAATGTCCATTGAGAATTTTTTATTAAACGTGTTACATGGCCTATCCGTGTCTTATTGTTCATGAGCGTTTAAATAAGGCGTCCAAGGTGGGATAGACCGCCTTGTCTTCTTCTCGGGTGCCTACAATGGCGGTGTGGTCCTGTAACGTGGGTAGGGCGATCTGTTCCTCGGTCATGCCTTCACAGGGTTGATAGTGTTGCAAGGTGGGATTCCACCAATACCACTGTTCCATATCCAAATCAAACACATAGAGGGGTTTGCCAAATATCTGAGCCATGGCCACACTCCATCCCGTACCGCCCAACACATGCTTGCGTAACTCGTCAAAATACCCCAACGCCAGCGCTAAGGACGCAGGCTTAATCACGTAATAATTGCGTTGTAGATACTGGAGGGTGATGGGATGGGAGACATATCGACCCAATCGAAAAGCCACCTGGGTGACGGTGGGTGTGGCAGCGTCCAAGTCGGGCTGAGTCAAGGGCGTGAGGGACTTGGCTCGAGGGTGACAGGGTGGGATGAGGACTACACACGAATGACCATACAAGTGACATACACGATCCACCTGCGTGTCCACCCCTTTGGCGCCTCCCGTGTAAATAGTCAGCGGCATGGTCTGTGAAAAAAAATTAAAAACAGTGTTTATGGTGAGACAAAGGATTCCAAGCCCACATGGTGTGTGGTTCATCATCGGCATAGATCAGGGGTTCTTGCCATTCCCGGTAGGTGACGGTTTGTTCAAAAATGCGTCGGACGCCGCAGCATTCGTTGCAATTATCGGGGATCCAATCCAAACCTTGGCCTCGGGCAAACGCGTCGTCTTTTTCATGGCAATAGTTGCATAACAAATGATCCAAAAGCCGATCACATATCGTTTTTGCCACAGCACGCGTAGGGCATTGACTTGGGAGAGGGTCGGAAGTACATTGGTCTGTCGACGTAACCAACCACTCATTTGACAGGCCCATACTTGCGCACAATGATCGTGCCAGATCCCACTACCGCGTTGTTCGTCGGTATGATCCGTGCACCAATTACGGCCACGATCGTTGGTGGCCATGACATTGACGGTGGCTATGGGAAGATTGGCTAAGTCCCGGCAGCCCTGCCCTTCCAAGACCACAATCGGGTACGAAAACCGGGGCTCTTGGAACATTCGATACAGACCATTGAGCGTGAAGACACCCAACCGCCACCGTTCGGGGGTGAGATACTGTTGACACCAGCGGGTGATATCATCCCTCATCTGATGGTAGGGATGAAATTCATGGCGGTTGTAAGCGGTGTACGGTTCAAACGGCAAACCATGCACTGCCCGGGTCTGACGATCCACGCGGGTTCGGGCCTCCTCGGATAATTGATCGTACGACACGCCCACAGGTAACAGGTATTTGAACAACACATGATGATGACCCGTCCAATCACAAAAGGCCAGTTCTCGAATAATATACTCGTCTCGGGAAATGGCAAACCCCTGACTGTACACCAAGAGACCTACTTCGCGTAAAGACATGATCACTTACCGTAGAACAGAAAGGACCCCAACTGATGCGACACGTCAGGCAACACATCGTTTTATAGCGGAGGGCGTGCGCACGGATTGGTGAAAAACCATCTCACACGATCCTCACGAGACGCTTGGCGTGCTACGGGATTGGTGGAAAAAAAATCACACCATGATCACGAGAGGAGGGTTGATGGACAGGTCATGGGTTATAAAAGACAGACAAGATTCGAGGTAAGAGTCATTCAGCCGAGGGATCTGTCATGGAGCGTCAAGCCACTCAACGTGGTAAGAAAAAAAATTGGAGGAAGCCAAAGCCCAAGCCCTAGACAGGCAAGCCACTCAACCTCCCACCAGTGAACTAGTGATGGCTCTGAAGGCCCTGCCCCGAGCTGAAGACCCACCACCACCACCCCAAACCGTGAACGAGTTGATGGAGGGGACCCTAAAAGGCTACGAGGAGGAATGTGTGGAGGAAGGGACGGTCCCCTCCCAGTTGACCACCGAAGTAGGGGACTCGGAAGACCAGGACCTGGATCAGATGGAGACCCAGCTGAACGACCTCTTGTATGAAGCATTTCCATTCCATCCTCACCAATTCATCCATTGTGTCAACCCCCAGACCGAATTTGGCCAGTTAACGTACTAGTGTCCCCAAGAAGGGTGTCCCGTGTATTTGTTTGAAGATACCCGTTTTGTGATGTTGGAGAAATTGAAAGAAGACACCCATCCCCAAGTACGAGCCCAATTGCAACGAGGATTGCTGAAGTGCCAGTGCGGGTTTACCCGCAAGATGAAATTGAGTCGCACCACCAAGAATTACAACAAAGTGTTTATGAGGTGTGGGAGCTTTCTCACCCATGCAAAACCTTGTGGCTATTTCCAATGGCTCCATGGCCCGCTGTGGCGTCCCCGAGAGCAAGCGCAATCGTCCCTGAGACGATAGGTCAATGACAATGGGAAGGCGCCCGTCCCCCTCCTGAAAAAGCACTGTCTGGACGATCACATCGATGGCTCCCTACCGCAAGAGTGGCTCTATGGGAAGGCACCGTCCACCGACCAAGCCCTGCGAAAGGATAGTCATTAGCAGTGGATGAATCAGTTTGGGGAATCGGCTGCAGCCCAGGAGAGGGAGAGGGAGAGGGAGAGGAAGCGGCATTTGCATAAAAACTTTGGTAGCATGACCTTGTTTTGAAACAAAAGAAATCATGTAGGTGTGTGAAAAAAAGTATTAAAGGAAGAGAATGGAAATGATGTTGTGTCAGTGTTGTCATGTCGTTGCCACGCGCTTACGAAGATCCCCAGGAACCCGGGGCCTTGGGTGGGGTCGAGCCCTTTGCCAAAGCCCAGAAATTGAAAACCCCGCAAGCGCAACGGATTCTCCAATCGGTGTTGGGTTATAAGCTCCACAAACCCCGACGGACGCGGTTTCCCACCACTCTCACGTTGGTCTTTGACCGAGACGAACAATGGCAAATGGATTTGGTGGACATGCAAAAACTCAGTCGATGGAATAAGGGGAACAAATATTTGTTGACCGTGATCGATGTCCTGTCCAAGTATGCCTGGGCCGTCCCCATCAAATCTAAACGCAGCCAAGACATGATACGTGGATTGGAAAGCATTTACCAACAAGCCTCGCCGCGGCGACCGCTCCACGTGCAGACGGATCAAGGCAAAGAATTTTACAATAGAGGGGTGCAAGCGTGGTTCAAGAAACAGGGGTGACATCATTTTTCGACGTATGGGTATAGTAAGGCCTCCGTGGTAGAACGATGGCATCGCACCTTGAAACAACGGATGTACCCTTACTTTACCGCCCACAATACGTTACGGTACGCGAATGTGTTGATCCATACGTACAATCACGCCCATCATCGGAGTATTGGGATGGCCCAAGTCACCCCCAACACCGTGCCCGAGGTCTGGGACAGACTCTTCGGCCAGCGCTTGGACCCAAAGACCCCACCCCCCAAATGCCAAGTGGGCGATCGTGTATGCCTCAACAAGAAACATCGTCCCTTCAAAAAAGGCTATTTACCAGGACGGACGGAAGAAGTGTTTGTGGTCACGCATATCCGTCGTCATCCTGTGGTCACCTATCGACTCAGTGAATGGGACGGCACACCTATAAAAGGCACGTTTTACGAACCCGATGTACAAAAAGTGCAAGTGTCGGACGACTCGTTATTTCGGGTCGAAAAAGTCTTGAAACGCAAAGGACGCCACGTGTTGGTACGGTGGAAAGGGTGGCCAGCTAAGTACGATAGTTGGATTCTAGCGCAACCCAGGCATGGTACGAATAAGAATTAAAAAAACTCCCCGTAAAAAACGGGTCACGTGGCTGGACGAGATCCAGGCCGAAGCCAGCCGACCGCGGGCCAGTTACACGCCACCCCCGACCGACGAGGCGAGTATCATGAAGTTCATCCACAAGAAAGCCGCCGACCAACGACGAGCAAACGTCAACAGGATGGCGGGGGTCGTCTTTGGTCAACAAGCCCTCCGTTCTTACACGGCGGCCCAAAAAAAACAACGCCGACGAGCCAGTCGTCATCCGCCCTTGCGCAAGATGAAACCCGCCACGGGCCTTTCCCAACATTGCCCAGAAAGTGTGTTTTAATTCCAAACAATCGACCTTCAATTCCTTGGTGGGACGGGTCCCTCGCAGCAAACAGAAAGTGGCCCAGTGGCTATAAAAAAGGACCACGCACCCTCCGACGAGCATCTTCATCATGAGCAGCATCCAACGCTTGACGCTCATCAGCGATCCGACCGACGAGTTTCCCAAAAATGCCAACAACAATTTCAAGGTACGACTGCCCGAACGACTATCCTTTACGGGGCGAGGGTTGGCATGCCTCGTTGATGTCCGTGACCGTCCCGGACCAAGGGCAGAGCAATGCCGTCATTGCCACGGATCATCATACCAAGGTGATCCGATTCAAATTCACACAAGTGATCCGCTGGTATCAGCTAGGCTCCTATCGACGTGTGGAAACCCCAGCCATTGACGCCCTCATCGAATTGGAAAATATCATGAATGCGGATCAAATCGTGGCGACTGGGAGTATGTTCTGGAAACAAGTGATGCAAGAAGTGAACAACAAAATCGTGACCATTGTGGCGACCAAACAAAAACAGTTGTTGGTCTCTAGGCGCGACGAACGACCTGTGGTCAGCGTAAAAAAAAACGCGATGCCACAACTGACATGGAAAGACGATACCTTGGTGATTCATGCTCTTGCCAAAGAGGATTTGTTGAACGTGCACAACATCGCCATGGCTGAGTTTCACATCAACTTGGACATTGCGCTCAAGTTTGGGTTGGTGATGGAAAAGACCGGTCAAAACACGACCACGCATGTCAAAGGGCCCAATCTGCAATATACTCTGCCCAAAGGTCACCTACGATCGTGCCACCATGCCCACTGGGGATCCATTTCGTACGTATTACAACTGGGAGGGCGAGCAGTACACGGGCATCAATTACGTCCACGATCCCTTTCAAGTGGTGACCCTTCAGGGGGTGAAGTATTTGAAATTGCATTTGATGATGGAATGGCATTTGAACAACCTCAATGCTTCGTTTGAAAAGATTGTGGGGACCAGCAAGCGCACCGTCATGGTCTATTCGGATGTGGTGGAATCCACCGTGGTAGGTAGTGGCAAGTTTCCCCTGTTGTGGGAGGTGCAATTATTGAGAACCGGCGAGGGTGAAAGTACGGTGGAACCCCTGCATCATCAATGGATTAAGGTGCGAGGCCATCAATTGGAGATAGTAGAAGTGGAGATTGCCACACCCAGTGGACCCCTGGCCATCTTACCCCCTGGCAAAACCCTGGTGACCATTGGGCTCAAAGAGCTATAAAAACCACCATGCACCCCTGGGTCGAGAACACACCAACGTGAGCCGAGATGCGAGGAGGGAGTTTAACGCGTTACCACACGCCCGTGGTCACGACCCAAGAAGGCAAAGGCTTGGCCGAAGAGTTAATCAAACTCGCGGGGCCCCTGATCGTGCAGCAAGCCGAAGCGGGACTGCAAGATATTCAAGGAGGAAAGAGTTTGGCCGACACCCGGGCCCATCGAGGCGAGCAACTCACCCGCGGACTGAAACGCAAAGCCCCCGCCCTGGCCTGGACGGTCGGCAAACACAAGGCCAAACGCACCGCCCAAAAGACCTATTAAAGAGCCACTCAACGCGTACGGGATATCTTTGGACGGTGAACACAATCATGGTACGCATTGGCGGCTTTCTCAAAACGCAAAATCGCATTCGACGGCAATGCGCCCGAGGGCGGTTCGTCTCACCGTATCAAGTAGGGGGCACGATTTTTGGCAAGTCCACCATGGCGCTCTATCCCCTGATGCACACGTCCTCCCGCCTATTGGAGCCCTGGAGGCTGGCCCATTTGAAACAACGCCGCCGCCGAAGAATGAAGGGGGGCACGATTTTTGGCAAGTCCACACGCATGCGAATGCGTCATTCCTTGATGTTCCCGTCTGCGTCCCGGGTGAACCCCGAGCCCTGGGTGATGGAGATGGTCCGACAACGACACGGTATAAAAAGGACACGCCGTTAAACCCCGTGGACAGTCAGCATCATGTCGCTCAATTTGTTTGATGTGCCCGAGGCGGATTACCGGTACGAAGCGTCCTGCGACGTGGTATTTCAACCCGCCTAGACGGGCATACAACCCATCACGTTTTCCATCCCGGCCTCGGACGATTATTGCGATCTCAACGAACTCCGGTTTCAAATTAAAGGGCGCCTGACTGATCCGGCGGCTGAGTATCAAGGATTGAAAGCCAATCTGACCAACTCCGATGCCAACAATACCAGAAACACCTACTGCGTCAACAATTTTGGTCACTCCATCTTTCGAGGTATGACCCTGAGCATGAATGGCGTCCTCATGGCCGAAGAGAGCAACACCTACCATTACAGAGCCTACCTAGAAACCCTCCTGAATTACAGCCGAGAAGAAGGAGCGTCCAAGTTAGCCCCGCAAGGTTGGGTCAATCAACTCAATGTGATTGCAGAAATGGGAGCCACAGGGGCCAATTCCGATACCCACACTGCTGCGGACTGGAGTGGCAATACAGAATTGCGTGCCTTGACCAGCCGGTTGCTGAGCGAGAATTGGCCCACCTTCATCATCCGCCCCCATTTGCCACCCCTCAAGACGGGTAAATGTTTGGTACCTGGTGTCCAGTTGGACTTTGAACTATTGCTGAACCCCAACATGGTCTATTTGATGGGCACCCCTAACAAAGGGACCTTGAATGACAAGAAATTTCCTGCCATCCACAATGAAGACATCAAAGTCACCTTGCTGATAAGAAAAATGACCTTGAATGCCAGTGTTTATGTCCGACTGCAAAAAGAAAGACAAATGGGCAAAAAGATTGTGCGCTACCCTGTGGTTCGAAGTGAAATCCGCACCTTTTCCCTTGATGGTCGAACCACCCAGTGGGAACAAGACAAAGTGTTTGTGGGCCGATTTCCCGATCGAGCAATTGTGGGGTTGCTGCATTCCAATGCCTTCAATGGAGACCTAGAAAGAAACCCCTATGCCTTTCAAAAGTTTCGGGTCACCCAGGTACGACAGAGTTTGAATGGAGAAGAATATCCTTACAGAACCCTACAGCTGACTGGCACGGAAGCCTATGAAGATATGCTGGGCTACGATCGGCTTGTACAAGTCATGGGTGCCTACAATGAAAACAAGATTCCCATGCTGCTGCCTAGTGATTGGGGACAGGGGAAGAACTGCACGTTGTTCCTGTTCAACAATGTGCCCAGTGGCAAAGCCGATGACCCTCAGTATCGCAACCCCCGTCAATCGGGCAATGTGCGACTGGTGATTGATTTCGCCGCCGCAGTCAATCACAACATCACCGTGTTGTTGTGGAGCGAGTATGAAAACGTGTATGAGATCAATCATCTGGGAGGTCTAAAGTACAACATCAACGGCTAATTCAGCCTTAGATGTCAGAAGACGCCAGCCATGGAGTTTGTGGAACTCAGCGATACCGTGTTGCGGGCCTGGCCCTGGACGATTTTCAATTACGGCGCGTGTTTCAAGGCGTGTACCCCGCCGACCAGTTACCCCGATCACCCCCCAATAGTGTCCGTGCAGCGTACATTGTCAACACCGATCCAGCGGGAGGACCGGGACAACATTGGTTGGGGCTGTGGACGGAACAAAACAAGTGCGAGATCTTTGACAGTTATGGTCTACCCCTGCACGTGTACACCAACCCGGAGTTGCACCAGTGGTGGAGTCAATGGAAGTACCTGACCCGTAGTTACATCAACTTGCAAGCCATGGATAGTCAGACCTGTGGCCATTATGCCTTATTTTTCCTGAAAGCCCCAGCGCAAGGACACACCTATGAGGAATTTTTGGGCCGTTGGAGTTGCGACAATTTAGTGTTGAATGATCATAAAGTGGCCGAACAGTTGAAACGCGTGATTAAACGGGAATTACAAGGTGAAGTCGATGCCCGACCCGATGGGCAAAAGAATGTGAGCCGCCAGGTCTTTATGCTTTGTAATCATTGTGATCATTATGTCAAATAAAAGCAAGAACCAAAAGGACCCTTATGTGTTGAAGGCATAAAAAGACGCGTCGGGTCCCTGGGAGTTGTCATTTGGTGTATCATCATGATTACCCGCGCGATGTGCAGCTCGTGATTGATGCGTTTATTCTAGAAGAAACCCTGTATTGGTAGTTGCACCCGATCGAACAGGTCAACATGGTCCGAGGCATCGATGCTTGGGATGGGTAGCATTGGTTGTTGGCCCGACAACTGGCGTAAGACCAAGACTGGGTCTCCCTTAAAACCTACATGGACACCATGAGTGAAACGTATTTAAGAGAGACCATGGAAGGTCTCATTCAGTTCGAGTCCCCACGATTATACCAAGAATATTGGACGGCATGCCCAGCCGCAGAAGAAGAAGAAGACGACGCGCCTCCTCCTCCCAAAGACCCCGCTTTCGCCAAAACGGGCGTGGGATCATGAGCGTGTTGGCCAAAGCGGCCAAAATCGGTTATAAATTGGGACGCGATAAACGGTATAAACGAATGGGAGCCAAAAGGGCCACGGGTCATTACCGACGTCTGCCTCGATCGTGGGAAGGATGATCCGACAACCCAGTAGTGTGACTGTCGCTGGCCCGTCGGGCAGGGGCAAGAGCGAGTTGGTGGAACAATGGTTACGGTACCTCAACGTGTTTCAAGTCAAACCGAAAAAGATCGTCTATGCGTACGACCAATGGCAACCCCCGGTTCGACCGTATGCAAAAGAAGGATGGCATTCAGTTTCATCGCGGGTTACCGGACCCCAATCATTTGACCAAATGGTTTGGTCCGACACGCGGAGGAGTGTTGGTCTTGGACGATCTGATGGAAGAAGGGGGACAGGACAAACGCGTGTTGGATTTGTTCACGAAAGATTCCCATCATCGCAACATCACCGTGCTGTATTTGACGCAAGATTTATTTCCCCCCTGGCAAATTCTCCAAGACGATCAATCGCCATGCCCATTACATCGTGGCGTTCAAAAACCCCCGGGATCAAACGGACATACGAACCATTTTACTGCAAGCCTTTCCCGACCGTTGCCGTCAAGTCTTGCCCCTATTCAAACGCATCACGTCCCTTTGGCTATTTGATGTTGGATGTGCATCCTGTCTCGGATGATCGCTACCGTTTGTGGAGTCATTTAACTCCCCGAGAAGGCAAGGCGCAAGTCCATACCCTGCCCGTGGATGTCCCTGCCGTTCGAAAACGCGCTGCAACGAGAACGCGAACGTCAACGTCGGCAAAGGGAAGGCGGACAACATACTGACTTATCGGCCCGCATGGACACCCCGACCCTCTCGCCCGCTGGCGTGGGCTCCTCCCTCGGCACCACCTCCCTCCATGGATCTCAGCAGCATGACGGACATGGTGACCGAATTGAGCCGACCGGTCGATCGATCCCAATTGGATCAAGAGGTTGAGGATTTCAATCTGACCTATCCGGTCAATGTGGACGATGCGGTGCATCTCTTCAGTCTACCGCCTGTGGCAGGCACCGGCACTGCCCCAACGACCACCACGGCACCGCCCGTCACCACTGCTACTCAAACCTGACCCATCACGTCCATCCGAACACGCCCTACGAATACCACCAGCCGACCGCGACCCGTTACGTCCACCCGAACACGCCCCGTCACCACCACCACGACCAGCACTGCCCCATCGCGCCTCCTCACCGCTCACCGCAGTGCCGGTGCAGGGACAAGGACCACCACCTCGACGGTGACGACCCCCAGTTGACGTCCCAGAATCGCCGCCAAACAACCGCGACGACGTCTCCGGGTGCCCTCTCCCCCCTCGCCCGATTCTTCCCCTCCTCCGTCGGATGACGTTGGCGATGATGACGACGAGGATCGACGGCGGGGATTAAGGCGACGAATGGATTTGTTGAATGAAGATGCTCAACAACGTGCTCGAGGCAGACGTATTCGAAATATCACGCATACCAATACAGTGACCACGGTCTACGAAGAAGGGGGAGGGCGACCTTCTTCTCCGGAACTCAAGATCCATCATGGAGTGGCGCATGGAACGTCAAGCGCCGTTTTTGAAAAGCGTCTTACAAGAAGCGAATCAACATAAACGACAAGAATTGTTACGGATGGGCAATGCGGATCAGATCAATGCCATCAGTGAACTGGTCATGAACACGCTCCGTGGCACGGTGCCCCGTTCTCGACACACGATTACGTTGCTCAAACCCCATGCTCAGAGTTTACGCGCGCATTCGGTGAAACGACGACGCGCTATCGTGATGGCTCAAACCGGAGGCACCCTCTGGCCTGAACTCTACCGATGTTATAAACGTTGCATGCGTTAGACCCCGCAACTCAGTTGCACCATGGAACCAGAGATGGTGAGTACCTCAGTGGACAATGCCCCCGCCTCTTACAATTACGAGACAAGTACAAACAAGAATTGGTGGAAGATACTCGCTTGACCAAAGCCGCGGATTTGGCGGCCAAACAACATGTGCTCTTGGCCAGTGATGCCCCCGATGCCTAGAAACGACCTCAACTCAAAGCCGTGGGTCGTCAATTACGCCATTGGACCAAAAAAGTCCGCCAACCGTTTGGGGCCCCGACCAGTGGCGTGCGCGCCACGAGTACCACGACCCCTGGCGACGATGATTTTGAGGCGGGCCCCGTGCAAGCGTGGTTCACGCAATTGGTCAAGGCGACCCAGGGTATAAAACAACGTACCACGCCTGGAGGACCCAGAAAACCACCCGTACCGCCCAAACCCAACATCACCCCCAGTGCCAGAAAGAAACTCAAGTTTACGCCCCAGGTGAGCAGCGCAGAGTTGGCGCAAGAGTTGCCTTTTTCAGAGGAGCCTGGAACAGGACCTTGGGATACACCCAATGAACGTGTGGAGTCCATCAAGAAATCGATCAAGCGCAGTCTCCGAAAGAAAGCAGCCGGTGTAGCCAAAAAGAAAGGGAAAAGTCTCGCCAAGAAAGCTTTGGATTGGAAAATGTGGAAAACCCCGTGATGGGACGGACCCAGAGACGCCGTGATGCTGCGCCCCGATCCGGACAGAGGCGACGACGGTCGCAACGCGGGGGCAAGTTATTTGATGTGCAAAAGCTCTTGAACAAGACGGGGATGGAATTTCATTGGCCCGGCTATCAGTACATGGGACCTGGGACCCATTTGAAAAAACGCCTGGCCCGCGGGGATCCCGGCCTCAACCGGTTAGACAGGATTGCCAAAGCCCATGACATCGACTATGACAAGGCCAAGAACTTACAAGATAAATGGGTGGCCGATCGCAAGATGATTGCCAAGACTGATCAACTTCCCGGCCGCAAATCCCTGACGGAACGTATTGTTAAAAATATTATGAAAGCCAAACTCAGGTTGGGCATGTAAACAAAAAAAAGACACGTTGTTCTGTACATACATATGTTTAATAAATCTTTGGTCTTACAATTACTGGTCCATTTGTTGTTAATGCATTGCTACGAATGGTTTGCACTGTGTCCTCCTCTTCCTCAGGCTCGGACTCTGCCCAGTCCAGTGGCAACCACGGTAAATGAAAGGGACGGGCCAGTTGCTCGTCCAACCATTGACACCTTTTGCGTCGCTTTGACTCGGCACGTGAGACATATTTTGCTCGCTGCAAGGCTTTCCACTCCTCGACGCCCATCGCTCGTTTTTTCTCCGCCATTAGTTCTCGTCGCCGCGCATTCAGGCGTTGTCGGTAGGCCTCGTAGGTGCCCTCCTCGATCATCCTGTTCCGCCAGGCCTTTTGCAAAATCAAGTTCTTACGCTTGACCTCATTGCGCTGCTCCTCCGACATGACGTGGTAGCGCCGCATACCCTCCTTGGACTTTTTGGCCTTGAACGCCTCGTACTCACCAGCGGCTTTCATACGGGCCATGCGTTCGAAGTAACGTTGACGGTGATGGGCCCTCACTTCCTCCATACCGTTAAAGGCTGCATATTTGTGCTGCCGATAGCGCTTTTGGCGTATCTTCGTCTTGTGGGGGTCTCGTGTCTTCTTCGGCTGCCCTGGCGTATCCATGGTCCAGTTCGATCAAGCGGGCCGAACACACGTCCGCCAACGCACGTAATTTTCGGAATGGGCTCTGTTTGTTCTGCTTGGCCAAGGCTCGCCGCTCCCGCTGCTGTTGCACTAGTCGGTCGCGGTTTCGGTGATAGTAGTCCCGATTGATCCAACGCACTTGGGCCAGATGCGTGGTTCGGTATCAGTAGCAGGCTTCTTTGTTTAGTTGACGTCGTCTGGCAATCTGCTCAGGCGTTGGGGCTGGTGGGGGTGAGGTGGGGGTTTGGGTTTCTTTTGGGCGGCCCGCCGTTCACGTTTCCGTTTCAAAATCTCGTCCTTGTTTCTCAGATACCACTCTCGTTTACGCTCTCTCGCCACCTCCGGATTTTTGTTGGGCTGTTGGGCATATCGAACACAACTGACGTCTGTCTAGGTCGTTTGTCTATATCTATCGTCTTGTCCGCCAATCACCGTGCTCGGTCCAGGGATGGTGCGGGTGGAGGGAATCTGGTACCCATGGGGGACCACCCCTGATCTTCCTCCTGTCGATCAAACCCCTCACCTGACCCTCATCTGTCCCTCACCTGAGTCCCTTCCACCATTCTCCTGACGCTCATGTGATATCACCTGAGTCCCTTCCACCATTCTCTTGACGTTCATGTGATATCACGTGTTTTTTTGGTCTATAAAAGCCAGTGTCTGGCGCGGGAAAATTCAAATTGTTTCCTCCGTCATGGCGGACGACCTCTTGTATCACTTTAGTGACGAAGACGATGACGAGGATGCCCTGTTGGACCGAGCGTTTGACCGGTGGGAACAATTGGGAGGCTGCTCTGCCCGAGGTCCTCTCTTTCAATTCCATATGCAACCTATTGGCCGACGACGCCGCTGGCGCGAGGTGGTGGAGCGGGCGCAATTCAATGCGCAATTGCGGCAATTGAGGGATCCTGTAGCTGGGGATAATATTGGGATGGCTTTAACCGAAGCGTTGCATCATGCCATCGAAACGGAACTCGACCGAGAGCAGCGACCCGCCCATCATTTTGTCAATTTTACCATAACGGATCATGGTTTTACCCACGCCTACCAAACGGCCAATTTTACTGTGGGGGAGTTTTTGCAACGCACCGCTCGCTCGGATGAGATGTTAGCCACGTTGGCAGGCAAGTTGAATAGCAATGAATCCGTCAACCCCGATCGTGGGTTCCAAGTGGATGTGGTGTTTGTGTCCATGCCATGCCCAGGTTTAGGTCATCGTAAAAAAAAAGCACAATCCTGGTCTTCTGTGTCTGGATCGAGAAAACAAGAAGAAACGATGCATCGTCATCATAAAAAACACAGATGCTTTATGCTGTGCTCGCGCCATTGTCACCATGCCAGCGCACTGCCACAAAGATCAAGGGGTGGATGGGTTTCGCGACTGGGACAATTTAAAGCGTGGGCTTCCGGTGCAACAAAGACAAGCCCAAGACTTACATCGTGAAGCGGGGGTGGCCGAGGGTCCCTGTGGCTTGCCAGAGCTTCGCCAATTTCTACAGGCGTTGGACTCTCAATACCAACTCTTGGTAATTACCCGGATGAAACCGTTCTTTCTGATTTTCAAAGGACCCGCTGCCCCCCATCAGATTCGTTTATTGAAATCCAATGATCATACTGATGGCTGCACGTCCTTTCCTGCCTTTGTGAACCGTTCGTATTATTGCGTGGACTGTGAACGGGGGTTCAACACCAACGATAGGACTAATCATACCTGTCAAGGGAGATGTTGTTCTGCGTGTGGCCGATTTGACTGTCAGGATTATGTGCGTGGCACCCGGCCGACCGACTATTGCACCCTGTGTCACTGTAAGTTTTACGGTGCCTATTGCAAACGTCATCATGTGGTCACCAAGCAATGTCAATCGGTCAAAACTTGTCTCAAGTGCCAAGCCCAGTACACGGTCGTTCCCGACCGACGTCACAAGTGTGGGCACGCCAAATGTCCCGTGTGTCAGGAATGGGTGTCCATCCAGGACCACAAGTGTTACATTCAACCCGTGGAGGAAGACGAGGAGCCAGAACCAACAGAAGAGGGGGGAGGTTGCATGGTGGAGCCACCCCCTCCCCTGTTTGTTTACGCCGATTTTGAAGCCATGCAGAATGGGGAGGGTGTGTTTGTTGCTAATTTGTTGTGTTATTCGTCCAGCGAAGAAGCGACCATCCATGTGTTGGACGGGGAGGACTGTGCCCTGCAGTTTTTGCACGATTTGGATGATCTCACCGAGGTACCGGACAGGGATGACGAGCGGGAGATTCTCGTAGTCTTTCACAACTTGAAAGGCTTCGACAGCATGTTCATTCTGCACGAACTGTACCAGCAACAACGTGAGGTGGCAGACCAACTGACGGTGGGGGCCAAAGTCCTGTCCTTCAAGAGCGGACCCCTCAAATTCATCGACTCGTTGAGTTTCTTGGCCATGCCACTCGCGTCCTTTCCAAGCACCTTCAATTTGACGGAATTAAAGAAGGGGTTCTTTCCGCATCTGTTCAATACCCCTGACAACCAACAGTACGTGGGTCGAATCCCCGATTTGGAGTTTTACGATCCCGATGGCATGATGGCTAAAAAGAAAGAGGAACTGACCCGTTGGCACACTGCCCAAGTTCGTCGTAATGTGTCCTTCCATTTCCAGCAAGAAATGATCGACTACTGTAAGTCCGATGTCGCCCTGTTGAAAGCAGGTTGTGAAGCCTTTCAGCAAGAATTTGAACGTCAGGCTGGCTTCAACCCCATGGCCAAGTGCATCACCATCGTCAGTGCCTGCAATCTGTATTGGCGCAAGCATCATTTGACCCGCAACAACATTGCGGTCGAACCTCTCGGTGGCTGGCGAGGCGCGAAGGTTAATGAATCACTCAAGGCCCTGCAATGGCTCTACCACCAGGAACACCAAATTCCCAAGCAGGGGGCCAGTGCAGACCGAATCCGCCACGTCCATAACGGGGGCGAACAGTCCTTCCGGACCATCGTCGATGCCTATTTCGTAGACGGGTACGATCCCCTGATCTGTACTGTCTACGAGTTTCATGGTTGTCTCTATCATGGTTGTCCCCGCTGCTATCCCAGCAGGCGGCATTATGCTGTGCCGGAGAGAAGCGTGGAGGAACTGTATCAAGCCACTCTATGCAAACGCATGGCTCTGCTTCGAGCGGATTACACCGTCATTGAAATGTGGGAGTGTGAGTGGGACCGTCTGGTAGACAGCGAGCCCGCCGTGTCTCAGTTTCTTCGTTCATTCGATCTTGTCGCGCCCTGGGAACCCCGCGAGGCCTTCTTTGGGGGTCGAACAGGCGCCGTGGCCCTGCATGCTGTGGCTGGGGAGGGTGAGGAAATACCCTATGTGGATGTGACCTCCCTTTACCCGTGGGTGAATAAGAACTGCCCTTACCCCATCGTTCATCTGCAAATCACCACGCAGCCCGTCGATCAGTCCCTGGGGTCGTATTTTGGTATCCCCACGGTGGACATTCTTCCCCCTGCTGGTTTGTTCCACCCCGTCTTGCCCGTGCGCAGTGGCCAAAAACTCACCTTTCCTCTCTGCCGTTCCTGTGTCCAGGAAGAGCAGGCCAAACCCTTGTTGACCAGAACCCATTATTGCCCTCATTCCGACGCCGATCGCACGCTACGCGGGACCTGGAGCTGGTCAAAGCTGTGGAAAAGGGGTACACCCTGGTCAAGATCCACGAAGTCTGGCATTTTCCGCCCGAGCAACGCCGAACAGGTCTCTTCTATGTCAATACCTGGTTAAAGCTAAAACAAGAATCGGCGGGGTGGCCCAGCTGGTGCCAGGCCGTGGAGCAGAAACGGGACTACATTCTTCGTTACCAGGAGCGGGAGGGCATTCGACTGGATATTGCCAGCATTGCCAAAAATCCCGGTCGCAAGGCTACCACCAAGCTGATGCTCAACAGCTTCTGGGGCAAATTCGGCGAGCGTGTCAACAAACCCACCACCGTCACCGTCAAGGACCCTGCCCATTTGTTCAGTCTCATCTCCGATGCTGCTGTCGATCTCAGCACCCTCCGCCTCTGTACCGACGACATCTTGGAGGCCGTCTACACCAGCGTCCAAGAGAATGCGGTCGAAGGGACCAAAACCAACATCTTCGAAGCGGCTTTCACCACGTGTCATGCTCGGCTCAAACTCTACGAGTCCCTCGACACCCTTCAACAGCAAGTCCTCTACTATGATACCTACAGTGTCGTGTACAAGTGGCGTCCTGGCCAGCCCAGCCTTGCCATCGGGGATTTTTTGGGCGATATGACGGATGAATCACCGAGTTCGTTTCTTGGGGCACAAAGAATTATGGGTACCAGACCCGTGGAGGAAAAGTCGTTTGTAAGGTACCCGGTTTCACCTTGAACGTCCGCGGGTCGGCCATCCTCAATTTCAACACCATGAAAGACAATATTGTCTCGGAATTAGACTCGCCTCAGGACTCTCGCCGAAATTTGAACATTGTCACCCCTTATCATTTCCGAAGGGATTTAGAAAAGAAACAAATCTAAGTCGTTCCCCGCGTGAAGCAGTATGGGTTGGTGTTTGACAAGCGCGTAGTAAATGTGGCCACCAAATCGAGTTATCATTATGGCTATGTTAGACTTTTAAATTCCTTTATGTCCAGGGCGTGACGTCCTTAGGACGTCGCACACTTCCCGCTTGTAACCAGGGCCTTCTCGAGAGTCCATTAAACAAAAAAATGATTTTTTTCAGTCTAAAACAGTGTGTTTTTCATTGACTTCCGGTAATGCGAGGGGTCTGGGGCTTGTTTTGAGTGTTGGCGCATGCGCAGTAGGTCTATGCTTAAATGCGCTCATATGAATGTGGGTGACCTGGGGAGTATTTTGGTGGTCTGTGCATGTGCCTACGATCCCATTCACGTGACTGCGCAGGGAAAAAGCATTGGGCCGAACTGCGCATGCGTACTACCACCATGCATGTATGTGCCTTCCTCATTCTCGTCCCCAGAGCCCGTCGTTTCTTGGTCACGTGGTCAGGAAACGAGGGGCTCTGGGAGCAGCCGTTACCGATTTTCTGACATCCGGTTGCGCATGTGCAGAAGTTACGAATATCACTGCTCATGCTCATAACGGATTTTTGTCCCTCACCGCTCCACTGGGGAAAAAGTTCTACTTCCTGAGCTCTCTCCAGAGAGTGGCTTATTTGGGATGTTTTGAAAATACACCACTTTACTCAACTTGGATTTGCTGATAATTTGGGGTTAAAAGAAGAAGACAGTAACATAAACCGGCTGAACACACTGTTGGTTTGCAGAACTGAAACAATTATTCGGCAGACTATCGTCTGAGTTATGTGAGTTTGTTTTTTCAATCCGTTTGGCGAACAAACACTAGGAAAGCAATATCGCGAAGATCGATATAATGCGGGAAAAAGTCAATCTAAAAAAGTATCTTGTTCCATGTCCTGCAACTGCTATCTTACTGCAAAACGCTTTTTGAAACGAAACCATTCATGTGATGCGTGAGGAGAGTAAAATATATATTTCATTTCACTCGAGCTGGTTGTGCTTTTTCCTATATTTATTTCCTTTTGTGGTGTCGCATGTCGTGGTTTTAATTTTGCGTACAACACGTGTTAGATAACCGAAGGATTTACGTCGAAACAAATCAATATTAATCATTTTACCGACCCAGGGTAAAAAACATATATTACAAGGTTTGTCCAGGAGAATTGACAGTCTAATACACCTCCATGGGCTTCCATGCATGGCAACAGTTATACAGTACTGAGTCTCCAGTTCAGTGCTCTTTGTATGTCAACCCTAACTGAAACTTGAACCCCAGTTTCCTAACCCTGATCATAAAACGTCTGGGTCATTTGGTGTTTATGGTGGCCATTCAGTGTTCTGCTAAAAAAGGTTTATCAACCTAAAGATTGCAGATATCATCTCCTAACTAAAAATCACCATCAGCACCTCAAAGAGAGAGTTTTCAATGATTTTGCTGTCAGACTCAGAAAATCGTTAATACTTGAAAAATGTTGATTGTGTAGTGACCAATCGCCATAATGTTCAGTACACATGCATGACCAAACCTCAAAACCACAAAGTAATTACCATTGCTGAGGTGAGGTTTTTTTTTCACCCCTTATTAGCTCTTTCTTTGCAAAGCAATAGCATTCCTGAATATTTGTGACATTCATGGTTTTGTAACTTTCACAGTATAGGTGAGCTCTTGTCACCTCTGTTGTAGGGGTATAAACAGTTATATGTACTTTTGATTACCGGTTACTAATAAAAAGTGTTTCCCAGGACTCTAGTTTAGTAAGAAGTGATGGTAATTATGCAAATGCATCCAGAGAGAAACCTGTTTAAGTACCACTTATGAGCTCAAGGGTTACACATCTTTGTAAATGATTTAAGGTTATTTTTATCTTAGGGGAGGGCTTACAACCAGGAGGACATTTTTTCCTCCTCACTGGTAAATGAGCCTATAACTGGGGTGCTTATAAGTTGGGGGGGAGGGTTTTTTTATGTTCTACTTCTCACTATCTGCATACCTAGAATGGGTTATCATAAGTTATGTAGCTGTACTTTCTTATCTGGAACAGTGAAATGTAGAGTGATATATGCACTGTATATTCACAACAACACAACAACACCAAAAGCTTTATTTGCTTGACCATAAAGGAATTACAGTATTGCAAAAGCTATTAATCTAAATTTAAGTACTAATTCAACTAATTAGTACGTGCAAAACATTACAAAACGTGACAGTTCTCATTCATTCATTCATTGATATTAATTTGGTCCTTAATTCTAAGCATTGCGAGATAAATGAAACTAATTGACAGTTAATTAAATAATCAGAAGAATTCATAAGAAGAGATATTAAAGTATCGTGTGAAAGTGATTTGAAGTCAGGTATTTTAGTTTCTAGTTTCGAGAAAAATATGTCTCTGATCTGAGAATAAGCCTTACAATCTAGTAAGAAATGATTTTCATCTTCGATTTTCTTACTTGTACAAAAGTGACATATCCTTTCATTGCGAGGAATGTTTTCGTATCTACCTGTTTCAATTCTAAGTTGATGACTACTTATTCTAAATCTAACTAATGTTTTTCTCGAAGGGTTTTTTCTTGCTAAAACTAGGTACGGCGAGGGGCTATAGTCGTCTTTGATTGTACAATAAAAACTGAGTTTTTGTGATTGTTGAAGTGTCTGATTCCAGTAAGAGACGTATTTATTTTTCATTATGCCGATATACCTATTAACTATTGAGTCACTCAATGAATTACAGGAAAAGTCATAGTTTAGATCATAGTAGTCAACCATTTTCATGAGATTAGAGTAAAAGCTAGTTTTTCCGTTATGATGAAGGTCAATTGAAATTTGTAAGGCCTGTTTAACTATAGAATCTTCATCCTTACCTCTCAGATAGTCTAAGTAATTTAGAATCTTTTTATTTATATCAATGATCATGGGAAATTTACCGAGTTCAGCTCTACAAGCAATGTTGGATGCCTTGTTATGTACTTGTAAATAACGTTTACAGAATTGCAAATGGGTTTTTTCAATTGCAGAGCTGTCCCAGGACTTAAAATCTGATTTAACAAAAGCACCCCAAACTTCGCTGTTGTAGGTTAGAATTGGTGAAATCATAGAGTCAAAAATTTTACACGCAAGTGAGGGCTTAAGATTATTCAAATCCGTGTGTCGCCTGAGGCTGAAGAGCGCGTGAAGAGCTTTTTGTCGGAGATGTTCAAGCGAAAGTGTAAAATTTCCGGAAGATGTAATTCGAGTTCCTAAGTAAGTATAGTTTTGGACAACGTCGATTACTTCATTGCCTATGCGGAAGTTATGTTCACATTTTCGTGTGCATCGTTGAAAAATCATTATTTTGGTTTTCTTAGGATTTATTCTAAGCATCCATGAGTTGCAATATGAAGATAGTACGTTAAGGCAGTTTTGTAGACCAAGTTTGGATCGCGATAATATTATCAAGTCATCTGCGTAAAGGAGAGAGTTGAGTCTGGTGCCATTTGGTAACACGAAGGGGTCTGATAAAACATTGTCAAATGAGAACGCTAGATCGTTAAGGTATAAGTTAAAGAGCAGAGGGCTTAAAATGCAGCCTTGCCGCACTCCTCTTGCGTATTGAAAAGATCGCGTTTTGTTATTTCCAATCCTGACAGAGCAGGTAGACTTCGAGTATAGACTCTTAATTATATAGACTGTATGCTTTAACAGATCCCCCTGTTAAGAAGTACACTTTGAGTAACACATAGCCCAAAAGCATTTTCTTGGGTAGCTGCTCTCATCATGATGTTTTAGGACTGGTGTGCAAGACCTGCAAGGTTTGAAATTGGGGATAGAACTTTGGGTCAGGCCTGAAATAGGATAGTGCAAAATCACATAGTTTGGTGAAAATTTGGCAAGGCAAGAAGCATACTGTGGGGTGAATCTGAACTGATTTTTGGGGGATAGTGCCCACCCCAATCCCCACCCTCTGCAGTTGTATTGGAACTGAATGTGGTGCTTTATAGAGTTAAAGTACAATATCTGCTCACAGGTTTTGATAATGTATAATTTTTTAGCTTCCTTTAAAATTCATTATGTTGTGTTTTAACATGAGGCCTCCAGCTAGGAAAAAGGTTTAACCAGAACTGAATCATTGACCAGTGGAAGCAAGTTTCAGTTTGGCTCATCACTACTTGTCAATAACCAAGTAAACTAAGATGCCCTATGCTTCCGTAAGCCAATGCTGTGGGCAAGCTTAAGGACGGGTGGAGAGCAGGTGTGGTTAGGATTGGCGAGTAAACTATGATATTACTGTTGGTCAAGTATGTTATCCAGTCCCTATCAAAGGTGACATACTGCAAAATCCAGTTGTTATCATCAACAACCACTTACCCCAGTATGATGCAAAATAGACTTCTCTAGGCTGTTGTTCATTTATCGTTTTATTTATTTACGCCTCAGTTGTCCCTAACATCGTCAAAAAATCTACACCAGTTTTCACATAATGTATGCCTAGTATAAACAGTTAAGTTTTCTTGGATTTTAGAATTCTTAAACCAAAAAGGTACC